TTCCCTTAGTCATGCCATGACAAAGTGTGTATTTATGGGGTTTATTCCACCTTCAAACTAAGGAATGGTTACACCACTTACATCTCCACTAACATCTCCAGTAACATTTCTGCTGAATCAATATAGGGGAGCATCCCCTGCCTGGCCCATAATTTCTGCCATATAGTAGGCAGCAAGGGCTCTTAAGTTCTATGGAAGAGAAAAAACGTGTATCCCCTTTGTGAGCTTTAGGAATTATCTTCCACCTCTGTGCTGTCGAATCGTCTGTTTTAACTATAAGCTGAATTAAAGTCATGTGAACAAAAGGTAGAATAAATTTTCTGATTACTGGCCCTGTAAACAATTTAGTGCATCACTAGGTTCAAAATTAATCCTACCTAGCACAAAGTTTGAGCTGTTAAGGTGAGGCTTGAGGAGCGCAAGTCAGAGCATAGTTTACACTTGCAAGATCTGTATGTGTAACAGTTGTGAGAGAGCCACACAACATGAGGAGACATGTAGCTAACCCTGTACCAAGTTGAAAAGAGGCAGTTCAAAGAAAACGAAGTGCAAATTTTTCCATCTATTCTCTGTTTAATGACTGTGTGTAGGTGTACATGTAATATGCCTTTTCATTTTATATGGATATGCTTTTCAATATATTTATGCATATATATGCTTTCTTCATTTAAGATACACTTTTCTGTTCTAATGTGCATGTTTTAGATATGTAAGTCAAGCTTTCATTACTGGAAAAGCTCATTCATGAGACACAAAATATGTTCACGATAGTCATTATGCATCCTTTGAATGATGTGGGGTATTAAAAAGGAATATAATTAGGCTTAATGTAGTCAGGAAGCAAATCTAATCTGAATGTCACTACTGCTTTATTGCTGTAACTTTGGTACTGCTTGTGAAGTAGTTGCCATATTGCAAAAGATTATAATCGTTTAGTGCGACATCTATGGCTGTCTAAAATGCAGCCTAAACATTATGGGCCAGATTTTGACAATATAATTACATGGCCTTGCTCTGGGCATGCAGGGTGGAAGAAGGGTTTGGAGGTTCTTGTGTTTTGTGTGTTTGTCAAGATGGCCAATTGAAATTCCAGTGACAGAGGGTAAAATGCTGCTCGTTTATTATTCCAAACAAGTGGAGAGCAGGAAGACCTGTAGTTTCATCCCTCCTCTGCAATGACCAACTGTTGGACATGGGATAGGATATCCTGTAGGTAGGAATAATTTAGTCTGCCCTACTAGAGTTTGTGGCATGTTTTGTAGACCCCATAGATTTTTGAGAGTATTCTGTAGAATCATTTGATGGTCTGCGTGGGATAAGTTGCTCTTATTAGGCAGGATAAGTTGTGCCTCCAGTGCAGGACTGTGGCTGAAGGTCATGATCTAGATTTAATACTAGTTGAGAGTTATGCTTGTGGGAAGTTGATCCCTTTATTTGTTTCTGTGGAATACACAATTCCTGCCGTACTGTGCATTATTAAATCAAACAAGGTTATTTAATCAACCAGATTGGGGTGTCAGGAGGGAACAGCTCCCCTCCAGCTGTGCAGGGGAGGAGGACAGACTAAGAACTCAAAGTCATTTTTGGTGGCAGGAGTGAAAAGACAACTATTATTGTTGCTTTTCCCATGGCCCAAGAATCACTTTTCAATTACTTTTTGTTTATTCTATGCCATATAATGAGCGAGCTTCAGAAAACACTGTCAGCGGGATGATTGTTGGGATGCTCTTAGCTCACGAATGGTTTCTTAAGGTGATTTTGTTTTTATTTCAGACTTCCATCTCCCTCCATTCTCTTCTGTTTGTTTCAAGTCACCCTTTGTGGGGGCTGCTGGCCTTCCTGTGCATATCTGTATTGTACTTAATACAGAGGTCTGTGATGCCTCTGGATAATAAGTCATTCTAACCTAAAACAACACTATTTAAAAAATAAAGATGTAAGTCCATATACATTTTGTTAGAGGAGTGCATTTTTACGTAGGCTTTCAGATTCTGTTACTGAAGAGAACTGTAATTGCTACACGCGTTTTATATGTTAGTGGCCCATACATGAATTTTAGTGCCTCTGCGCTGCAATAATTTAGATAGAATTCTTATTGCAAAATGTGCCAAGATTTGAATTTTCAGTAACTGCTTTGTGTATTTTTGACCAAGGTTTGCTTTTTCATGTTGACATTTTTCAGTTTCCTTCTGTTCTGACAAAAGACAAAACATACTTTCTCTTTCCAAAATAAAATTGCTTTGAGGCTTGGAGTATATATGCTATGTTATATGCTTATGTACATAAAACATGTGCAATCTATATATGTATGTATTGTTCAAGGGCATCGAATGGCCCAAAAGCTTGCCCAAGCACAAGAAAGCCTTTTACTCACTTATATTTGAAGCATATTGCTTTTAACTGAACTGTACTTTATGGTAATCATATAAGCTCTGTGGGAAGTTGGCTAATATAATATCATTTATGTACTGGCATATTTAGAACTTATTATTCTAAATGATCAGTATGTACAAACTTGCAGTTCCCTTTAGGCAGCAGTGGAAGTAAATTGTGAGCCTAAAGCTTCAGTTACAAAATTAGTAACAATAGAAGGACTGACTGATGGTTTACTTGGCGTGGATCTTAATATCTTCCTTTCTTCTGCTTTTTTACCCATTTATGTTCTTGTCACAGTATCATCTGCACATCAGTACTGTGAGAGTCTTGCAGAAATCTTTTACAAGAACTTGGCTTATCTGCACTTCGTCTCTATGATTTGTCAGCCTGGCTTACTTGTATGTATATACTTCGGGTGTTTGGGGCACTATATGGAAGATTTTCATAAAAAGGTAAGGTTTTCACCATTCGCAAACGTTGTCCTGTTATGAAATCTTACCTCTTCAATCACTAGAAAATTGGTGATGGCTACACTAAAAAACTTTCAAAATTTGGCTGAAATGACCCACAATGAAGGAGGTGTAGCTATATCTGTGTGAGTCCTGACACACAATACTATATGGTTGAGTGAATATCAGATATTTTCAATATATTCTGAGAGCTATGAGTTATGGCTGCTGCCTGAGAAAAATAGAAAGATAAATAGTTATTATTTGCGTATTTGTTGTCAATGTTTTGAATGAAGAGCCATGCACTCCATATACAATAATTGAATATGTAGTAAAATGTTGAGCTATTTGGATTACTGTTTAAAAAATGAATTGCTTCCTTATTTTAGCTTGGATTGATAGTTTGAATTTATCCAAATCTGGAGATCTGTCTTCAAACTACATGATTTCTGTTTTGCCCCAGGATTGATTCAGTGACCTTGAATAATCTTTCAGCTACTTAAGTGTATAATCCCATGAGAGTGCAGTTATGTTAGCTAGAAATGGGATTTTATGGTCTTGCAGTAAGTTATTTAACCTAAATTTAAAGATTGTTCCATATAGTCTTGAGGGGTTTTATTTCCTGTGAATGTGGCTATTTCTGCTGATGATTTGAGAGAGCCGCCTCCTCAACTAGCCACAGAGGACAAATACATGGATAAGTATGCTTAGAGGTCACATCTTTGTTGAAGAAATGGAACCATCATAGTGGCTTTGTGGACCACTAGACATCACTGTTGCCGGCCAGGGGAAATGCATCTTCACATCATGGAAAGGAAATTATTTGGTTCTGAGTAAGAGAAAAAGACACATAATTTATGTAAACAGTTCTGCATTTCTTCATTCAGATAAATGGCAGCTATGTTGGACCATGTCCTCAGAAAAGTATGTGCATAACACTTCCTATTACCAAGGATTGTGCTCTAGTATGATTATGTTCAATTATGAGATTTTTCTGCTTAGTTAAAATTGCTTTAATACATCTGCCACAAACTGTTTTCTCCCCTACAAACTGGAGTTTTGCTTGTTGTCTGTGCAAATTTTTGATATAGGTATTAACGTGTAACAAATGAGAGATGACTGGTAGATATGATGGTATTTATTTAACATGAAAATGATCCTATGACAGAATGTTGATGCATCCCTTTCTACAAAGTTGGAGGGCAATGTTGCTTAAAAATCTCTCCAAGAAGTGCAGGATGGTAAAGCAATTTACTGTGCCATTACTGTTTTTCAGAGTGCACAGGACAGATTGTGCAATGTGTTTTATTATAGAGGATTTCACATAGTCCAAAATCATTATCTCCTACAACAATTTTTCATGGTATATGCTAATGAAGTAATAAAATGTAAAGACCTTTTATCTAAAAGAACACTTAGCTGCTGCTTTGTTCTACTTTTATGTAGCATCTGGGTTCTTCTGTGAAATTTTTGATCTGTTTAGGCGAGTTGATTAGATTTAATTCAATGGAGGCAGGAAACTCCTTTTAAAAGAGAATGGCTTAACATCACATCAAGTGCAATATGTGCAAAATATCACCATGATACTTGATAATGAATTACAGTCTTACAAACAAGGTTCAGTGTAAAATACTGCTATGGTAGTAATCTGCTTTACTCAACTGTTTGCTGTTAAGTCTAGTATTGCCTGTATTTAGTGTTCGTCTGCATAAAAAAAAATATGATTCCTGTAGTGTATCTCAAAGAGAAAATTCTATGAATATGATAATTAGAGAAACAACTTATTCAAAATGAAAACTCTTCAGTAGAGCAAACAATTATATTTTTTTCTCAAACTATCTAGCAGGGCATACCTCATTTGTTAGTATTAAAATTCTATTGTTACCTGTACAGATCTGTGCTGGTGCTGGTACTGAGCAAAGGTCTTTTTTGAAGAGGTCATCTGCACTTTCTTTTCAAATTGTTTCCTCACTGCGGCCAGGCCACCAGGCACAGTGCAGAACTTGGTTTTCTCTGAATTCTAGAGTGATAAAATAAGGCCAGTTGCTTTCCATTTGCACTAAGAATGTACTTCAACAAGCTAATTTTTTAAAGTAGTTAATAACAGTATGCTATAATGCTTCTAAATTTTAAATGGAATATTTGGAAACGCTTGCTTATATCTGTAACCTCTTATAGGCAACTTCCACTGATGTAATCTGTAAACTCTACTTATTTTAAAAGTACACATGAATTAACATTAGCACTCAAAATAGATACAGTAATAAGACAGTTATTTTTCAGGTGATGTCATCCAAATAAAAAACATGTACATACTATTAACATTAACAGTTGAATCTCATTGGCCCATTTCAGAACTTTTGCTTGTCAACAAAAAATGAGGACCTGCAAGATCTTTTGGAATTTTGTGATCTAGCATTTATTTAACACTAGTTGCTAAATGCTCCTTTGTGAAATAGATCCTGCTGGTGTAGCTGCATATTCATCTCTGCCTAAACTAGCGTCTGAGGACTCAGTGCTTTCCTCTCTAGTTTTAGGGATCAGCCATGTATTTTCAGCCATGTAATGGTCTGTCTTTGCAAGGATGACTCAGACAGTCAAAAATACTGTTTATAGGCAAGTTCATAGACTATGGCACAGGAGCCATACATTGTTATTTGGAGAACTAAAGGCCAATGTATATTTGAAAAATGCGTGTATTTGGATATTTGGCCTGAATCTTTAGTGCCAAAAGGAGTAGGTCCCATCTACCTGATTGTCAGTAGCAATCACCTTCCAGGACAATCCTTCTTGTATCCTTGCTGTTCCCTCTTGTACTTGTCTATCCTGAGTTCTGTTGCATTCAGAGTTGCCACCTGGCCCTCTCTGTGTTTTTGCAATAGGTATTGTTGAAAAACATGCAGAGAGCTTCAAGCAGGCCTTTGCGAGATGATCTTTCTTCGCTAACAACGGTGCCAAAGGTCACAAGAGTGACCTCAGGCTCCCTGTTCTAGTTCTCTCCCTTATGTGTTACTTCTTAGGTGATACTAGAACAAAGCTTTCAGCATTTGAGCTTATTAATCAGCATGCAGAAAAAAACCCACTCAATAATTAGGAATAGCCTTGTAATGAAGGGTACTAAATAAACTTAGGTTTAGTGCTTACACCTGATGAGTAAGTAAGCAGATCATAAATAACAGACTTTTTTTTTTCCCCTGTGATGAAGGCAGCACAATTCTATATGTTCCTGGATATGTGAATATGAAAAGTAATTATTTTAGTGAATGAACATTTCAGGCACACCTTGCCAGCCATTTGGAGATATTTAGAGGGGGTAAATGCAGTTGTGGGTCCTTTAAGGAAAGGTATTAATTCTCTTTAACAGAACTGGATATGCAGTTCCTTTTCAGGCAACCATCCATTTCAGCAAGAAATTGGGAGGAGTTCCAGAGTGTAAATGAAGTAGTTCCTATGTGGTCAACAGAGTTGGGTTAGGTCAGGCTTCATGCAGTTCTTTTCTTTTTGAGAGAGAGTAGTAACTTCAGCAATGTTTCCATTTGTAGGGCTAGGGAATTGGAACCTTCTCAGCCAGGTGAACTGCAGGAATCTGCTCCAAATACACCCAGGCAATTAGCAAATGAGGAAGACAGCAGGCAGGAATTTGGTGGTTGGAAAACACCTGGACTCTGGTGAATGTGGCTGATGGCTGTTTTCACTATATGGCTTTCAAGTTATCCAGGCACCCAGAAGGTCCATTCAGCTGCTGCAGACCACTTCTCTCAAGGCCAAAGTGCAGGTAGGACTGAGAATCCTTCTACCACTCTTATTGCATATGGACAAAGATGCTGGCTGGTGAGAGCTGCATTGTGGTCTTTCTTCTGCCAGGTACGCTCTTTGATTTATAGAAATTACTCTGGCCTAGTTTACAGTAAGAAAAAAGTGTTCTTCCCATGTGTTGAAAGTTTAGCATAAACAAAGACCATTGCTGTTCTAATATTGTAGCAAGCCAACATAATGCCTCCATTTCCTGATACAAGGGAGTCAAGCTACAACTTCTAGGTTGGATTTTGAGATATGGTAAAAATGTACTTCATACTCCTTAGTATTTCTGCAGAACTGAGGCAAATTTTCCTGATTTTCCTGGCTGAGATCTGATTTTCAGATATTCCTGATTGATAAATGTATGGTGAAATGGTCTTGCTCTATTTTAACAGATTTTAAATCCTGTTAGCCAAATACTTTTATGAGCTACATGGTATTAATATTAAACTTTGCTGGCAATACTTCATTTCTATTGATAGACATGTAGAGAGAAGAGTATTTAAAAGTTTTTTCCTGAATATTTTTTCATATAATGCCTGTTTTTTAATAATTTTATTATAAAACTATACTTTTTCATACACCCTGTCTCATAGAGCTGCTATTTTAAAATGCAGCAATTTTGAATTTTTAGTTTGAACAGCAAGAGGTCTAAACTTAATGTGCTTTTGAATATGATTTTATCATTTGGTAATATTTTTAGTAATGCAGAAACTGCTGGGTTTTGTCATTATGAGCTGAAAGGATAACTGTGTTGCTAATCTGTCTCAAGCCTATGGTCCTAATAAATGCAGTTCATGCAACAGTGGAATAAAAAGAGCAGTACTTCCAATGAATTAAAGGGAATTGTCCAAATGACCAAAGGTATATGAGCATGAAAAATCTCGTTCAGTAGAGACAGACTGATGCATCAATACATTTGCTAAGTAGATTTGGTAATTTAGGTTTCAAATTTTGATCTCCATAGTGGTCCATCAGTCAGCTTGTATGAATAAAGAATGTAGGATACATCACTATGCAAAGCAAACACAGACCTAAGAAAAGAACCACTGATATCTTACATCAGCAAATGACTTGCTACCCTTTATCTCAGACACAGCAGCCTTGTACATAGCCATTCTTTCTTTCAAGGGGACAGTCTCCTGGAAATCCAGCGGTGTGTTATCAGCCCTGGGAGCACTCTCTTTAGGTAGTCCTCTTACAGGTTTATGAGAACCCGCTGTAGATAAAAACAGACGTCATATTTTCTAAGAGGAAACAGGTACCTTTTTTCCAAATCTTGAAAGAACACCAGTAGTAGAAAGAAGCAGTATTATCAACTTTTTAGCAACTGTTTCTTATTTTCAATTTAGAGCTTACTGAGTACAGAAAAATGGAATTCAATGAAGTTTTTGAAATGGGAAAATTCCTTGGGGAAATAGCAAAAATATTAAAAAAAAAAAATACAATTTTAAGAGCAAGTATAGTATATTTTTCTTGATGGTGTAACATTTGTGTTATTTTAAACTGTAAAAAGTCATTGTAAGTACTACAAATAATCAATTATAATTAGAGATATTATAGATTTATCTATAAACATCTGCAGTTCAGTCACAGTGAATTTGGAGACAACAGGTCAGAGTACTGAAAGAGCAGCACTGAGTTACTAGCACTAGGAAGTTTTTTGTTGCTGCTTTCTACATTCATATGACTGTATTAGAAAAATTCTGTATACCCATAAATGTGCCTTCAAATTTAGCGTAAAGGTATTTTTCCTTCTTGTTTCAGATAAAGGGAAAAAAAGTATGTTGTGAGAATCTCTCTTGCCTGTGATCAGAGGCAGAAGAGATTTCATATAATCCCATAGGCTGGAAGGTCCTCTCGTCCTGCCAAGGTTTTTCTACAGTGCATGGAAAATTGGGTTGAATGAAACTCAATTTCTGTAACCAGGATGCTCCCTTTTTGGCAGGGGAGGAAATTTTAAGACTTCAAGAAAATACATTTTTAGTAAAGCCACCAGAAACTAATTTTTAATCCTTGTTCTTGTGCTGCAGATAACAGAGCACACTGATCTTCCCTAAATCCATCTATATTTCTCCTTGTCTTTGCATAACAGGACAGAATAAATTTGTTGCAACCTGCGTTGCTTCTTTTTTTAAAAAACAATTGTGTTATCTGAAATTATAGAAACAGGCTATAGCTGAACTAAATTATTGCAAAAAAAACCTCACCAAAACCCACTCTGCCCCCACCCCCCCAGCATGATATTTCTTGGAATTTTCAAAGTTGAGGATATTAAGAGAAGGAAGCAGAAAGAAACAGTGTAGATATGTCCTGTTCTCTGTATTTAATTCAAGGCAGAAGGTACCCAAACTAAAACCTTAAAATCAATTTCCAAACAGGAAAAGAAAGTCAAAGAAGAAGCTTCAGATGTGTGCTTTCTGTTAGCCATTGGCAGTTTACTTGTATTCTTACGTGTTCTGTCACTGCTGACACCTTGTCTTTCTCACTCTGAGCGTGCTTTGTCACTTTGTTGCTGTACAGGGCTGCATTTTTTTAAAATAACATATTTATGTTTGCTGTGTACAATTCATTTATGCTTGCTGGTGATTTGCAGACGTCCAATTAAGCAAATCAACTCGTTTGCCATAATTTTGCTAAGAAATAAGTGACATCTCTTTGTAGGGTGTCAGCTAGGTCATAATGTGCATATAAAACACCAAGGACATACTAGAGTGCAGTTACCTTTTTTACCATTCAGTGCAAACCAACACCATTTACAGAATTGGTCTTCTCTTTAGAACGATAGAAGTCTTCAAAATTCTCTCCTAAGAATTTTTTTTTCCAATTTTTAAGACAAATTTCCCAGTCTCCTCAAATATACCAGCCAGTGGAGACCATCTCCACTGAATACTTTCCTGGAGCAAGTAGAGGGGCACAACTGATTTTGATTTATCCCCATGTGTATAGAGTGGAACTCGGTGGCTGTTTCTAGGGCCTGAGGCCTGTATAGCATTTTCCAGAGTCAACTCCTTGTTCTGGAAGCCTGACTGTAAGACATATTGTTATATGTATATTCATTACAAAAACATGTGCTCAGTCAATCACATTTCATCTATGTAAACAGGTTCACTTTTGATTACTGATTGTTTTACCAAGGCAGTGGCTGAGAATGCAAAAGATACAGATAAAAAAATTCTCCATTTTCTTTTGAAGAACCCACTCTTTCTGTTTAACATTATGGAAAGCAGCAACAAAAGAGACTTTCCAAAAAGCTATCTGTTTACCTGACACAGAACAGAGTGCCAGGGAAGAATTCCAAGGCACATCTGTCCTTTCTGCCTGTTTGCTGTAAAAATGGCATAGGTGTTCAAGGTCCAGATATAGCAAGCAAATATAATAAGCAACTCTAATCTTCAGTAAAAATCAAGCATAGATGCAGACGTGTGGAAGAATGGTCTTAGTGTAAACATACTCAGTTTCTTGGCATTTTTACCTGACTCTACTCATAACTTATATGAGGATTACTTTCTTTTTTATTGTGCTTATCCCATGCAGTAAATTTGCATATTGCATGTAATCATGATAGACACAAGAATTGCTACAGTTCAAGAAAGAATAATAGCATCAGTAAGAATCAGTGAAAGTTAGCCAGAAGGAAAAGAAAATGCTTTTTAGAGAAAATAGAGATCAGAAGAGAGAGAAAATTGCTGTTCTTCGAGTAAGAAATCTGTACATTAAACCAAATCTAACCAAAGAATGGAAAGATTGAAAGTATGCTTTGGCAACCGGGAGGGATAGTCCACCATACTCAGACAGTGTTAGTTCATTTTTAAAGGCAGATTAAATTATGTAACAGACTGCTAGACTACTACCAGCATGATATTTATAAGTCATTGCTTTAATTCTCAAGAATGTTTAGAAGTTTAGAAACTTTCTTGGTATTGTTCTGATTCAACAAGAGATTCTTGGATTCTACCTAATTGTAAGCATGTGAACAGTTTCATTAAGCACAATGGAAATACTCATGTGCTTAAAGTTAGGCATGTGATTAAATTCCTTGCTGATTTGAGGCCAATGAATTTAATGGAGTGTTTTAAAAAACATTTTAATACATAGATATTATTAGCCACCTGAGGAGTGAAGGTAATAGAAAGTATTCTGTTGTTAGCTTTAAACCAGGAAAAGCCCTCTCTTTGAAGCCAGTTGTTATATAACATAGTGTGAAACTCTTTGCGGTGGTATGAGAGATTATATGATCTAAGCTTTTGCTCATTCATTTTGCTCATTCAAGAGAGCTTAAAGGTCTAATATCTTCTGATCCTTTCAGGGATAAATGTGTACTTGTGATGAAATGCTTTGTAAGAAGAACCTTATGTTTACCAAGGTGAGGTATGCCAACAAAAAGCTGTTTGTCTTTGTCATATGGGACTCATATGATAGCATCTATTTCAGAGAATTTAATTCTTTTATTAATGATAAGTTACATCAATTCTATAAAGTAAATGGAGCTTGACAAATCTTCCGTGTATAATAGGACTGGAGAATTCTGGCTTTCTGCCACTTTTTCCAATGATATGACTACATTAGCTATCCCTTATGGGCTTCTCCAGGCTTTCACAATAGGTTGAACAGCAGTATCAGCATTGCCTTCATTGTTTTTCAGTGGAGACAATAGAAGTCATTGGTACTCAGTCATAGAGCTTACTTTAAATGTTGCTCGATATTTCTTCTAGGAAAAGAAGATTTTGGTGTAATTGAAATGCTTAGCAAAGAATTCATAGCACTTTAGTGGTTTGAGGGTATTGCTCTTGCTGAGAAACTGAAGCAAGTTGACATATATTGTCATTGGTTATAGAAAACTCAAAACTCATGGTGATGGGAGAAATAATCTATGGATCAGCATTATCTTATATTTTTCAGGACCTGAATATTTATTCAAGTGCAGAGTTGCAGATTTCAGTGCCTAACTTCAGCTATTAGAAGTTTAGGAGTTTTCACCAGTGCTTTCAAACACTCAAATGAGTCTATAGGGAATTTGCTTCTCATAAGACTGTCTGAATGCAAAATGGAGTATTATGGCTCTCACAGGAGCATAGAAAAACATTATCCCCTAGGGGTCTGTCACATTTTTAGAAAAAGCTTCATTTATAAGAGGCATGAATTGTTGACTGTGCATTTTTACATAGTTCATATTCTTTGTTATTCCTGGTGGACCAAAAAATGCTTCTGAAACATACTGTGCCCAATTTAAACTCAGAGGCAAAGCCGGTATGGAATGGAGGATGCTGTTCTCTTGTTAGAGAGTAAAAGGAAAGGCTTTGAACTAGGAAAGTCTAAAAGGAGGAGGAAAAAAAGAAAAGGTGCTTATAGCCATATTATAAAAAAGATACCTGAAAAACTTGAGAAGATGTAGAGAAGAGCCGCAAAAAAAATCTCCCACATGGAGAACTGCAGCTGTATTTAGTTGATGGAAGAGAAGGTTATGGGTGATAAGGTCATAATGTATAATCATCCTTACAAGAAGAAATGAGCAGGTGTTAAAGATCTCTTTAATTTGGTAGGGAAAAAAGGAAAAAAGATAAAAATGGCTGAAAGTTAAACCTGGTAAAAGAGTAGGTATTTAGTTTGAAGAACAAGAACAACAAGCGTAATCAATCTAGTGGCATTAGCTAGAAAAGGTCTTGCACTCTGAAATTTCCTTTTTTCTTTGATCTACTAGAGTTTAGAATGGCTAAATATGTAGGGTAAACATTTTCTGAATCAAAAAAAGAGTGGAGTCAGTAACTGGTTGATACTATGTAGATGGCTTATTAATGTTATTGATAGAGTGGACAAGTCTTTTTATGCTAATTATATGGGTAATCTGTTGTTTTACATAAAGTCGAGGCCTAGACACTCTGCAATCAATAAGTGATTTTCTGTCAGAAAATTGTATCATCCATGTTGTTTCTCTGTTAAAAAACCCAAACCACAGATAACATGCACTTTTTGATACCATCAAGCAGTGGTCTCCAAAGCAGGATGTGCACAGCCCAGGGGCTGTGCGAGACACTCCGTTGGGATACAGGAAGAAAATATTTTTTGTAAATAAACACTTTTTAAAGGAAAAAATATATTTTTTAGATTTCATCCATCATCTTTTTTTAAAATCTATTTGTGTGTATGTTGCCTAATGTACGTAAAGTATTAGTATAGTATATGTATACAATTTGTAGATAAATACATATACAAACATTGGGAGTGCCTGCTCAAACATGTTTTACTGATAGAGGTGTACCATCAAAAAGGTTTGGAGAGCACTGCCTTAAGAGTAAAGCAAGACATCAGATCCATGTGGTAATGCTAACCTTCAGAGCTGTTGCTGTGGCCGTTTTCTGAGGACATCTTTTCAAAGATTGCTCTCCCTCTTTTCACACTAGATTCCTTTAGAGAAATGACAGAATGGCTTCCAGGCTGACTCTTCAATGTTGATGAAAGTGAAGTTCTCTCACTTTTTGTTTCCTGTTAGCAGACATCAAGAGGATGTGTGTTAAAAGCTGCTGGTAGGAAATAGATGTGAGTTTTCAGGGAAGGAGAGCGTATGCAGAGGCAGCAGGTTAGAAGGGGGTGCTATTCTGGGGGAGACGTTTTCCAGAATGCCATATGGTAAATTTCCGTAGCCCTGCAGGTTGTGGTTTCATGTGTGCTGCCCAGTTTGTAGTTCAACAGACAGTGATGCTTGGCAGTTTTCTTTTGCTATTTCTTGCACCTGGTTTCTTCCACAAGAGAAGAGTGATGATGGTGGTAAGGTTCACAATAAAAGATACCAGTTGCTCATTTAAACACTGTTTGAACATAGAAAAGTTGACAGAGGGAATTTTATTAATTTCATTTACTGGTATGTAAGAATATATGAAAACAGCAAATGATGGCTTGGAGACCAGATATACATGGGCATTTATATTTCAGAAATTTGATTTTCAATTCTGCTGTGACCTGTCAACTGAATTTAGTTTATTAGAGTAGTGGGTCAATGTTCCATACAGGTAGTTTACACAATATTGTTAGCATCTCATCGTCACACTGTGACCTCAGACTTGTGAGGCAAAATGAGTAAGTTATTGCTACGCAAGTCTTTATCGTGTTGAATCTAGTGTTTTGAGGTGCTTCTCTTTCCTCCAAGGAATATGATACTTAGTATGGAGTTGGACACAACGGCTGTAAAATCACAACTGCAACTCTTGTATTATAACTGAAACAGCTGTAGTAGCAAAAATATAGGTGTTTTTGCAAGGGAATAACATGAAAGGTCCACTGTGTGTCCACTTACCCTGTCCCTGTAAAAGTGGTGGCGATATCCAAAAAGAGAGTGGGCAGGTGGTTGGCCTGGTGACTGCATGGATCTCCCCAGCAAGATTTTGCAGAACTTATTTAGCAGAGCCCTTAATTGCTTAAATGGCATACATTTTCAAAAATGTACTGCCTTCATTAGACTACTTCCTTTTTATTGTTTGCAGACAGCTTTATTATTGTATACCAGTTTAATGCTACCCTTGTATATCATCTCACTGAAGTAACTCCTAACTGCTTTTAGATTTAGATATTACGCATGGTGCATAATATCTAAAGCAGAAAAAGAAGCAAAATTTGAAGAAGCAGAAAAATTTGACCCCTGAATTGATTATTTGAGATTGGAGAGTATTTTCCTGTAACTATTTAAAAAAAGAAAAAGAAAAAATATTTTTTAGTGCAATGCAACTTAATGAATCCTCAGATAGAACTCCTACAAAGAAAATAATACAAAATAAATTGTAAAAGCCATTTTCACAGTAACATATAATCAATTAATACATTCACGTTGAATTTTATGAAACTAACAGGGAACAAGCATTGGAAATACACTTTTAAAACGAGTGCATCATTAGCAATCAAGGACAATTGTGCTTCACCCATCTTTAATAAATCTATGCTTTTCTCATAGCTACTGATAGCTTTTATCTCAAATATGTGTTGTACTTAATTTCTTGACCTGTAGTCATTCTTTGCAAGAATACTCTTTCCAGTACAT